CATATGCACTGAGCAGGGAGGGATCTAACCAGCAGTGACCTTTAGGTTTTCTGGAACGATGCCCAACCCACTGTTACCACACCAATCAGGGCTAAATAAAAATGTTTTAAATAAACAGTAAACAACTTTTTTCTGTTGCTGTTCCTCACTAACCCTTAATGGATTCTGTTTGACAGCTACCTAGGCTACTACTTAGAACGTTTGTGAATCATTCGCCAACCTTTCTTCCCCTAAGTTTTCCAATTACATCAGTAACTTAAGGGCTAAATCCATTAAGACAAAGGTGAAGGGGGAATGTTTTAAAAGCACTTTACAGAAATGCACGGCCTTAGTCATACCCCAATACAGGCACTGTAATAAACCAACGAACCTGTATGTAAACGCACATTCTGAAATTACCTAAAATCCTTATTCTAACTTCACTGTGCTGTGAGATGGGCTTTTGAAAAAGCATGAAGATATTTTATCTACTATTTCGATAGCTACTAGTCAGTCATAAGCACAAAGAGGTTATTATTTGAAGTAACTGCAAAAGAAATATGCAGTACCACACCCCCATCCCCAGGGCTCCATCTTAATCACACACAGGTCTTTTGTGAGTGGCTCAAGAGAAATACGAGTACTGGTCTAAAGGTCGGACAATTTCTGGCTTTGCCATTTACTAGTCATGTGATATGGGGGGAAATCACTAAATATTCTCAAATTCACTATCCTACAGCATGAAATGGAAGTAACACTACCTACATCAATGTTACATGAAATAAGTAAAAATTTTTGTGAAAGTAGTCCGTGAAAAGTGAAGTTCTATATAAATTAGGCATTACGTAATTACAATTTTAAATTTTATCCTATGCCTGTTATTACTATTTAAATACACTTTTCTTAAATACAAGATAAAAGTCTGACAATATCAGCCTTACAGCCCTCTTTAAATATATATATGTATGTATGTGCTTTCGGGGGTGGGGGGGTTGGGCAGGGGAGAGTAATGGGGGAAAATGGGGACAATTGTAATTGAACAATAAAAAATACTAAAAATATATATATGCTTACAGATAGGCTTCTCACAAATTTAAACCTCACTTGCAAAATTAGATATATTAATTTACTGGGCTGAAATTCACTTGCTATACCAGGTTACAGAAATTTTTAAAACATATTCCTTTGACCAAGCTATGAAATGATTAAAAAAGCCTGTTTATATAGACTTTCAATGTGTTTCCTTGTACTTACTGAATCCACAATTTGCTCAGTTTAATACTTGCTATTAAGTATTCTTTCCCTACTAGAATTCAAATTGAGATCTTTTCATCTTAAGGTGAAAAGGGGTGTTTAAGAATGTCCACTGTAGTAAGAATTTGACTCAAACTGCAATGATTTGTGATTACATTATATTCCAGGGTTGTAAGCCAACATAATTGGAATATGTACAATACTATATAAAAGTCTGTAATATACATTAAAAAGCATCTGTTTTAAATATGAAGACTAAAAGCTACCAGTAGGAGAAGTTTTAAAAATTCCATTAGCCAATTTTGCTTATATTTAGAAGAAAAAAACTGCACTCAATAAAGTTAACTCCATTAACTGAAATAAAAATTAATTTCATCATTCAATAAAATATCAATAAAATTACTGCCCTACAGTCAAGAATTGATAATAACCTTTTTAGCTCATTATTAAAGCTAATTTACTATCCCGTTTTCTTCCTGACGTTACATATATTAATGAGGCAATTCAAAACCCCTCACTGATCAACACTGTAAGTTAGAGGTGAGGCTGTGGTATTGTTAAAGGACAACTCTAAGTAGTAACTCAGAAAAGATGTATTCCTCATGTTGATACATTCACCCAGAGTAAATCAAAATGGACCACCAAAACCTTACCCCATCATATGGAGCCAATCATCACAGGGAGATGGTGAAATGACAAAACCAGTAACTACCTTCTCAACAACCCAAATGTAATGTATGCTGACTGCTCTACTCTCAAAAAATGTTAAAGTACTCACTTCCCCCTGCCCCCGTACTGCCCACTTTTCTTTACTATTGTGGTTCATATAGATGGGACAGTAAGACTTAGTTCAGGAATGCTCTAAGGTCGCAGACTTCCTTACTATGGCTAGGAATGCTATAAAATCTGTCCCCCAGACTGCTGACTTAAGTGATGCGATGCTAGATTTAATTTTCAAGGTGAACAGCCATAGCCCCGAACCCAGCACTTCCTAACTGTAACCCAAAACTGTCCTTTTTCTTGAACACATCTTAGCTCTTCCTCCAGCACTTTTTTTTTTTAATCTTCACCCAAGGATATGTTTATTGATTTTAGAGAGGAAGGGGGAAGGAGAGAGAAAGAGAAACACTGATGTGATAGACAAACATGCACTGGCTGCCTCCGGTGCGCATCCGGACAGGACCGAGGTTCAAACCAGCAACCCTCTGGTTTATGAGCTACCTGGCCAGGGCTTCAGTACCTTTAAATAAATCATACAAGTTGATTCCAATTCGCCAGGATAGAGTTAAATGATGCCACAAAGAAGTTTAAGTAGTAGATTCAGAAGAGCACATGAAATAAAAGATGAAGGTACTACAGGAACAGTAAGAAAAAAACAGTATTTATATCCAAGTACCCAAAATGAAATCATTCAAATACACTCTCTCACCTTCTTTCACCACACTTGATGAAATGGTGACTAAAACTATGGGATCATTTTTTGTCACCGCAAACACTGAATTATTGTACCCAATAAAGGAGCGAACAGAGGTAGAGTCTGATTCATGATAACTGTCTTCCTCTTCTTCCTTTCCAATGAATCCCTCTCTATCTTGTGTCCAACAATCACCAGAGTTCCCCTCTACCTGGTAGAACCTATCTCCTTCCCCCTTTAGATTCTGAAAGAGAAACCCAAAGTACATGTAATGATGTGGCTCTATCTTGAAAGTGCTATGCTGAATAACCAGTAATAGATTTGGTGAAAAATCCTCAGCATCCAACTCCAAAAATATCATTAGCACTAAACTGTCACTTATTTGTAAACTACAATCATGAGCTTCCAAATCAGTTCTTTAAACAAGTTTAAAAAAACACTTTCCTCCATGTCCTTTTTGGCCATCAGGGCCTAAAATCCCTACAGAACAGAAAGCATTCAAATGTAATTTCAAGTTTCCTCCCAAGGGCACTAGCAGATCAAGAGGGGAACCTATTTGGAACAAGAGGGGGGAAAAGAAGAAGAAAAAACTTCCATTACTAGCACACCCACTTGTGTTTGACTTTTAAACACTGAAATAAAGACAAATCTGACCTTGAGCTGTACTTCCCATCTTATTCCCCCCTCCCCCTCTCAACAGGAACCTTGTTCAATACAAATGGCAATTTAAGGATTTACAAAACAAAATGTAGTGCAGTATCTTTCCCAAGTTTGAGGTCAAATCCTTTTTTCCTGCTTTTCAAATTCCTGAATCCTAATGTATGATATTAGCCCTGAGGCGATTCACGTGCCGAACACGCATTCAAGGAAAGCAATGGTCCTACAGAACATTTTGAAAAATAAGTGGTTTAGTAATTAAGAAAAACCTAAAGATCAATGGCACTTGATTCCAACCATGTCCCAACAGCATTAAAACCGGAGAAACCACATATATGATTTCTCGTTTTTGTAATACTACATTTTAACGGATGCGGGGATAATTCAAGTACCTCGGTCCAAAATGGGGGGAGGGGCAATTTTTAAAAAGAAGCAGCCTGAACTCACCACACAGACACAATGGACAATTCGATAAAGTTCTGGAAAACGACGAAAGAATCTTTATGGCCAATGAAGCAATGAACAAAGAAAAATTGTTCAAATCTATACACAAAATCATTCATTCTAAATGGTGAGAACGGGACTCCCTCTGTTCGTGATCCCAAAACCCAAACCTCAGTTGAGTGCTTGGGATAAATTAAGATCCCAAATGAGGTACGAACACACATTCCAAGCCCGGGCAGTCAACCAAAATGCAGTTACTAAACATTATTTGAAATAACTTTATTTTTCAACAGGTCTTTCTCCATTTGTCATAATGGTGCGTGGAAACAGGAAAGTCATTATTTTCACTAACGGGTAGACTGAGACACTGGCACTGGGAAAAGACTGAGAGTCATGGTCTCCTTGTTTCCTGTTCTACCCACCAGAACTCACAGCTTACAGAGACAGAAAATAATTACAGGAACTTCGAGCTCTTCGGGATAAGTCCAAGGAAAAGGGGTGTGAGGGTGGTTTTTCTAGACCTCCCCAGAAGGCGAGATTGAACGTAAACCCTCACTACAAGGTGTGGCGGCCTAAGGGGAGATACACGATCGCAGCATCTCAGCCTCCGCCCAAGGATGAATTGCAGTGATTCCAACCCTCTCCCCATCCGCCGCCTCATTCAAGACTGCCCCCACTACAAGCCCACGGAAGACCTCCGCTCGCTAGGCTTCTCCTTTGTGAGACTCCACAGCCGCCGCCCCACATTGGGCCTCCGGGGAAAAGCCACCGCCCCCACCCGCCATATTTCCCTGAAAGGCGCCCGCGCTACACTCCAGGTCGCTACTCTCCCCCATGTGGCGAGTGCTTCTTTCCCCCATCACCCTTCTCAATTGTTCTCCACCTCCCAAGATCGGCCAGAAGCTCCCCGGAGGATTGCTCGCCCGGAGACAGTACCCGCCATCTCCTCCCCCCTCCCTCGCCCGGGGACTCGCCCTCCCCCCAGCCGCCATTTTACAACCAACTCCTCCACCCTATCGCCTGTGCTCCTGGGCTGGCAAGTGTCTGCAACTGAGGACACTGAAGGGGTCAAATTCCTAAGCCTAGGGCCTCCCACCGCTCCCAGAGACCACAGGCCATTTCCTGATTCCCGAATCCACGTCCCCGGGCCAGGTCTGGAGACGATGCCGCCATTTTGTCTCCTGCTCCCGGTCTCTGTGGGCGGCGGCAGAGGGTCCGAGAATTCCAGCCCCCGGTTGACCCCCCAACTCACCGTCGTATCGCTCAGCCTGCTCGGCCAGCTTCGCCTGGTACACCAGATCCTCCCGATCATCCATAGCGGCAGCGGCTCCGGCAGGGTCTGCGCGACGGATGGAAGCGGATAGCGTCTCCGACTCTCTCAGCCTCTTGCTCCGCGTCCGAGCAGCAAAAATGGCGGCGCCTCAATCCGGGACTTCCGCCTGCGCACGCGGACAACTGCTCAGCTCTATGGCAACCGCTCCCTGGCAACTGGCGCGGGGGGCGGTCCGGGAGCTCGGCGACCGAAGAGGCTGGAACCAGCTAAGCTCCCCTCCTCCGGGGGGCCCAGCTGCACGGTGCGGGAGCTCCGAGGCGGGAACTGAGACTGCGGGAAGGGAGAGCGGCCTCTAGGGAACGAGGGAGGCCTAAGGCGAGGCCGGCCTGGATTGCTCGCGAAGCCAGAGAAAGCGAAAGGCTGTAACGGTTTTTTAATGCCAAGCCTGCCTTCAGGAAACCATCTCCCCTTCTACCTTGCCCTTGTTTTCTCAGCCGAGCCCAGTCCCGGGCCTTTTCCAGATTTTTTTAACCCTGGGGTAAAGAGTTGGGCCCCGCTATAATTGGTAGGGGAAGAGGAACTCCCCTTTTCACACCTCAGCTTCACCTTGGCCCTGGGCAATTTTCTTTTCTCTTCCTGCGCTTTGGCCTTTTCTTTCCATTTAGGCCCACCCCGGTAGGAATCAGGGTAGTTGTTAAAGGAGCCTGGTCTGAAGAGCAAGGTGCAGAAGACTGGGACCAACATCACATCGGGATTGAGGAGACAGGAATGAGGACCTGGTCTGTTTTGCAATCCAGGGGATTCCCAGCACCTTGTACTCAATATGATATAGGTTGCAGGACTAAATTTCAGGTAACTAGAACATAAGCTGTGTAGTAAGGTCTGCAATAAATGTGGAATAAAAAACTTAGAACCAAATTATTCAGAGCCTTGGATAGCAAGCTAAGAAGCTTGCACCTTATTCAGTGAGCACAAGAAAGCAATTTTTTTAATGATTTTTTCATGGAGGATGATGACCATCGTCGTTTATCTAATAACATGAACTTTATAAAGATGAGTAAGTATGGGCCCTGGGTGGTGTGGATCACTGAATTGAGCGCCTGCTCTCAGAACAAAAGTTTGCCAGTTGCATTCCCAGTCAGGACACATGCCTGGTGCCGGCCAGGTCCCCAGATGGGAGCGTGAGAAAAGCAGACAATTGATGTTTCTTTTGTACATCATGTTTCTCTCCCTCACTTTCTCCCTCCTTTCCCCACTCTCTAAAAACAAATTTTAAAAAATCTTAAAAAAAAGATTAATAAGTATGGCAAAATAGTGATTAAAGAAGATAAATTAGCCCCAGCTGATGTGGCTCAGTGGATTGAGTGTTGGCAGCGGCCCTAAAGGTTTCCAGTTCGACTCCCAGTCAGGGCACGTGCCTGGGTTGCAGGCCCCAGTAGGGGGCACGGGAGAGAGACAACCACACATTGAAGTTTCTCTCCCTTTTTCTCCCTTCCCTCTCTCTAAAAATAAATAAATAAAATCTTTAAAAAAACAACAATTTTTAATACAATAGCATCAAAAAGAATAAAATTTCTAGAAATAAACTAACCAAGGAGATGAAAGACTTACACGTGAAAAACTACAAAGCACTGCTGAAAGAAATTAAAGAATGAATGAAAATAAATGGAAAAGCATTCACATTGGATTAGAAGATTCAGTATCATTAAGATAACAGTATTATTCAAAGTGACCTGCAGATTGAATGCAGTTCCTATCAAAATCACAATAGCACTTTTTGGCAGAAACAGTGAGGCAGCTAAATTTGCTGACCTCTAGAAATCCATTCCAACTCTATCGGACATACCACAGCAGCTAAAGTCGTGAACTCTGCTCTTGGACTCCTTGCAACGGATGGCTGCTTCTCACTCGTGAAATGGAACAAATCGTTCCATTTCTTTAAGCCTTAGTTTTCTCATATCTTAGTTTTCTATAGACTGGGAATGATATTTCCCTCATACAAAAAAGAATAGGGCAAGTACATGTAAAGAACCTGATACTCAGTGAATGTTAGCTGTATTTATCAATGTTTCTATGGTCCCTGCTTCAGCAAGAATCACAAGTTCGTGTCATAAACTACAAGTGAGAAGAATTTTAAAAAAGTCACTTTAAATTCTGCACAGATATCAAGATTAGCACTGAAGAAAAGTCATTAGATAGAGCAATTAGGTTATTGGTGACCTTCAAGAGCAGTTTTGAAAGCATGTTGGAAGCCGGATGGCATTTGGCTGAAGAACTAAGAAAGCTGGAAAGTGGAAGTGGAAGTGTGGGATTCTCTTGAGATGAGTAGCAGTGCAGAGGCAGAGAGGGGTCAAAAGAGATGAATGGCCAATAAGGACGGCCAAACAATAGCGTCGGTCCACATGTCACAACACCCGCCCCACTCTGCAAAGCTGGCTCTGCTGCCAGGATGACTACAGGGCTGTTTCAGACATGCAGATATTAGGGGTGACTGTCCCATGACTACTGGGTCTTCTCTCCTGAATTGTGTCTCCTACGACTGGCTGAACTCTAACTGAAGGTGACTATTCCTAGGAAACAGCTGAGAAGGCAGAAACCTTAAACTTAGATTGATTCTCTGACTGTACTGCCTGTTCTCTCAACAAACAATTAAAAGGGACAAAAATCATTGACAGGGCAACAGAAATACAAACACAAATTTTGGATATAGCATCTGAGATTATAGGCAGATATAAAAATCATGGTGCGGGACTGAGGCGGCTCTCATGGTATGGCGCTGCATTTCTCTCTGTTGCTGTGTTGATGGATATGTCACAGTCCATCAAAAATCCTTTAAAACAATCACCAGGTCATTAGGTCACATTTTTAAGTACAAGTCTCCCAACTTTATAAAGAATTTGCTCTAAAAGAAACAATAACTCACTTGGCCTGTCTTGAGTAGACTATCCACAGATATATGGTAGTGTACTAAGCACTACAAGAGGAAATAAGACATTAAAAAAATATGATTAGTCATTGCCTCCAGGATCTTGCAGTTTAGTATTTATTTGGAGGGGAAAAAGTTATTGTGTTTTCATTTACAAAAAATAGGTTATTTTTAGATTTTATTTATTTATTTTTAGAGAGGTGAGAAAGGAGAAAGAGAGGGAGAGAAACACTGATGTGTCAGAGAAACATCTATCAGTTGCCTCTCACATGCCCCCAACTGGGGACTGGCATGAACCCAGGTATGTGCCCTGACTGAGAATCAAACCGGCAACCCTTTGGTTCGCAGGCCAGCACTCAATCCACTGAGACACACCAGCCAGGGCTATTTTTATTTTATACCTTTCTGAATTTAATCTTTCACTATATACTATGTTTACAATTTAAATGTATTTATGAAGATACGTAGTCATATGAAAAATTCTCACAATGTATGATTCAGTGTAAAAACCTAGAAATCAAATCACATTTCAGTATTATCGCTTTGTTAAAATACAATTATACTTAGAAAGAAAGATCAGAAGACCCTGGCTGAGTAGCTCAGTTGGTTAGAACATCATCCAGATACACCAAGATTTCAGGTTCGGTCCCAGAACAGGGCACATATAAGAACCAACCAATGAATGCATAAATAGGTGGAACAACAAATCCATGTTTCTCTCTCTTCTTTCCTCTCTCTAAAATATCAATTTAAAAAAAATCAGAAAACACACTAAAAGGTTAAATAGCCCTGGCCAGGCGGTTCAGTTGGTTGAAGTGTCCTCCCATAGAGGGCACACACCTAGGTGGCAGTTTCCATTCCTCCTCCCCACCTCCCCCAGCACCGCCGATCCCCTATCAGAGCTGGAAAGGGAGGCAACCAATATTTTTCTCTTTCTTTCTCTCTCCTTCCCTCCCTTTCTATCTAAAAAAATTAAAAAGTATAGCCTCTGGTGAGGATTTAAAAAAACAATGATTAAAAAAGGTTAAATAAGTTTTGTTTAGGGGTTATAGGTGTTTTATTTTCAGAATTGTGTGTGTGTTTTCATAACTATCTTTAACTTTTTTTACTGATTTAAGAGAGAGAGACATCGATATGTTGTTCCACTTATGTATGCATTCATTACTTGATTCTTACATGTGCCCTGACCAGGGAAGGAACCTGCAACCTTGGGTTGTAGCAGAACGACGCTCTAACCAACTGAGATAGCCTGCCATAGCCATAAATATCTTTAATTACATGTTACTTATAGAGGGTAAAAAGGTGAACTAAAAGAAATAAAAATAACTTCTGATACAATATTGTTCTTCAGATTGCTTTTTGCTCTTAATACATCATGAATCTCTTTCTAATACAACAGTACCTATCAAGCTACTTTAGTCTTTCTAATAACTATGCTATTCTTTTGTATGGATTTTACATCATTTAATCAATCCTCTATTGATAAATATTTAAGGTCTTTAAAATGTTTTGCCATTATAAATAATACCGCTAGAAACACATTTATACATATACAAGGGTATTTCCAGATGAGAAACTATTAAGTCAAAGAGTGTGCACACATTTTTGTTAAGTTTTATATTGAATTGTAACATACAAACAGACAGGTGCACAAATCCTAAGTGCACAGATGAACTTTTCACAAAATGAAGGTAACTCGTGTTGACTGCTTCAAATTCCAGAAACAGAACATTACTCAAGCCCCAGAAGCCTCCTGTGTATGCAGTTTTTTATGATCACTGTAAAATTCTTTCAAAAACAGTAAACCAATTAATATGAGTAATCAAATAGTATTTGAGGCTTCCACGTTCCCAAATCCTCTCCAACACAGAATATTATCATATTCTTAATTTTTAACAATTTGATAAGTGAAATGAGAGTCATGTGTCATTAACTTGCATTTTTTTGGTTCTTAATGAGTTTGAGGATTTTATCATGCATATTTGTCTGTAACTTATCTATTATTATGCTTGTTCATTTTCCTACTGAATTTTTTTCTTATTTGTAGGAATTCTTTATATTTTATGGATGTTACCCCTTTGGCTGTTATATATGATTCAAACATTTTCTTCTCCTTTGTCATTTGTCTTTTAACTTTATGCTGCCTTTTAAATTAAAGTTGAAAATATTTTGTAGTCAAATCCTTCAATTTTGTCCTTTCGGGCCTCTCCACTTTCTGTCATGCTTTCAAAACCTTCCAGACATTCAACAGTAT